GGTCGATAAAGGTAATTATGAAATTACATGCAGTTGTAAAAAAATTGAAATAATGGAGATATTATGTGTTTATACCCTAAGAGTGCTTAACCATGAGAATATAACAAAGATCCCTAATAAATATATTTTACTGCGGTGGTTGGTTCATGAAAAGAGGGATATATATAACAACTATGGTTATAAACATTTGAAAGATTCACAAACTTCAGCAACTTGTTCGAGTGGTCTCATATATCGAACGCACGTTCATAAATTTGCATACCGGATCAGCATATTAACTCAAGGTAATGAACTTGCTGAAAAAAACATGCTGGAAACATTAAGGAAACTAACACTCGAATCTAAAGTCATATTAAATAGGAAAAAATCTCAGGAAATGTCAATGTCAAAGAAGAAAAAGACACTAATAAACCACACAATTTGAAAGAACCAACGAAGATGCGTCCAAAAGGAGTTTCTAATGCTAGATTAAAAGGCTTTTGGGAGAAGAATAACCGATCAAAAAGTAAGATTGAAAAATAAACAAACTGTGAGTTAGGTTATATTCTTCTATTGTTTTGGATGTACGCTGAATTACAACTCACTAACATGACACATTGTTTAACAGGAAAGGATAAAGAAGTTGTTTCAAGTCAAGAAACATTTCAACCATCAAATCCAAGCCAATTTTCAATGTTGGATCAGTATAGTCAGGTACATAACTTAAAGTTCAAAATGTTTTATGATTTGTGATCTAATTCCGAATTGACATATGTACTTATATTCGTATGTGATTGCTTAAAATCAGCAGAAATTGCCTGCTTCACTGCCCACAGACACATACATGAGCTTATTGATGGACCTAGATGATGATGTGTGAAATACCAAGTAATTGAAACGATCTATTGTTTGTAATTGTAGAATTAATCTATATTTTGCAGAACATAATACCAAAATATACCCAAAGTAGCAGGAATTGCCTTCATCACTGCCCACAAACACATACACGAGCTTAGTGATAGACCTAGATGATGATGTGTGAAATACCAAGTAATTGAAACGATCTATTGTTTATAATTTTAGAATTAACGTATATGTTGCAGAGCATAATGTCGTTTGTGTTGAATAATACCCAAATATTCCCGAAGTAATACCATAATATCGTTTCTGGCTTTTTCAGAGGATAAATAAGTAACACGACTACTATGTAGCATCTACTACGAATAAAATCCATGGGATTTAAAATATTTTGAGAATTTATCTTAATTTTATCTCTAGTTTGCGTTGAATAATACCAAAATATTCCCGAAGTATTACCACAATATAACCAAAATATATACGCGCGCTGACGGAGGAATATATCACGGTTTTATTGGAATATTTCGTTGTTGGATTCGTCAGTCCGCGGTCGTATCAAGATTGTACCGAGGATAAATAAATAATACGACTACTACATAGCATCTACGAATGATTAAATGGCATTTGAATATGATCCGTGCGATTTAAAATATTTTCGGAATTTAACTTAATTTTATCTCTGGTTTGCGCTGAATAATACCAAAATATTGCCGAAGTATTACCGCAATAGAACCAAAATATATATGCGCGCTGGCAGAGGAATATATCACGGTTTTATTAGAATATTCCTTTGTTGGATTCGCCAGTCAGCGGTCGTATCAAGCTTGTACCGAGGATAAATAAATAATACGACTACTACATAACATCTACGAGTGATTAAATGACATTTGAATAAGATCCGTGCGATTTAAAATATTTTGGGAATTTAACTTAA